CGCCCGCTCTCAGTGGACTGCGTTCGCGAGTGCGACGCCCGATCGGCAGCCGCCTCGACAGTGGCCACCGCTGCCGCGTAGGGCGCGGTCAGACGCGCGGTGGCGGCGGAGCGCGCGCGCTGCGCCTGCGGGGCGCGCGAGCGCAGCGCGCGGGCAAACCCGCCCATGCAAACCAGGGGCCCAACGACGCGCCGTTATTCTCGCAGCGCCTCGATCCACAGGGAGTGCCCTGGCTGCCCAGAGGAGATGGCGCGCGACCGCTCCGTGCGCGCCCTTGAGTTCGGCGAGCGCGCGTTCGCGGACCCCCGCGCGCGGCCGCGCCCGCGCGCCGGCCTGCGCTCGCGAGCGGCCGCGCGACCTGGAGGGCCACGTCGCTCCTGCGACGGGCGGGCTCAACTCCCCGGCGGCGCAGACCCTGGATCGGCCGAGAAGGCTGCTCTACCGCCCGCGCCCGCGGGATAGTTAATCGGGGGCCAGCCCGTCATCTAGCGCCAGTGTTCAGGGTGGCGCTTCGGACGAGTGTCGCTCGACATCAGGGCAGTGATTCGGGCGGCTGGCGCTCGGCCAGGGGCGCGGGCCAGTCCCGCGGCGGGCGCGGGGCCCCGACGGTCAGCGCCCCGAGTTGCCGACGCGGCTGTAGGTAATCCGACGCCCTCAGACTGACCTTGCCTCGACGTCGCTGCGTTCCTGCGAGCGCTTCGAGATGGCTCGCGCGAGACGCGCGCGTGAAGGCGGCGCAACTGCACCGCGGGCGGTGGCCCGCCGCCGCGGAGGAGATGGCGCGAGCGCTGCGAGCAGCCGACGTGCGCGCCCTCGACTTCATCCCCGCGGCGGTCAACGACTGCGCGGGGTGGGGTGGGGTGGGGGGGGGCAAGTGGCTGCCGCCGGCGCTTCGGGCCATCCCTGCGTTGCGTCGTTCGACGCGATTCAACCGGCGCATCGAGTGCGACATCTTGTATTGCAAGGGTCGCATGATCTCCCGCATGATTCGCTTTGCTTCGCGGTGACATAATGGTTAGGAGATCGCGCCCATGCGCGGTTCGGCGATGCTTGCCGCTATCGGCCGTTTATGAATTCAGTTGTTTTGTGCGATGCAGACTTTGCATCGTGGACGGCCAGGGCGGGGTGGCGTCCTCATTTCGTGGGGGAGATGCGGGGTCGAGGTGTGCGCGTGCATACTCGAGCTCCTCGTCGACGCGCTCGCTTCGGCATGCGGCGCGTCGCCGTGCTACGACGCGCGCTGCGCGCCGCAGACAAGCAGCTGGGGCGCGAAGGTATCGCGGCGAACCTGGCCCGATGTCAGCACGCGCCATCTTTGCGGGCAACAGCCTCGCCCGCGCGGGCGGCGCGCGCAGTGCAGCGTCGCCTCCTGGCGGCAGCCGCCCATGCTGCCGCCGCTCGAAGCAGTCGAAGAGCGCGGGGTATCTGGCGCTTGCGGCACCGGTGACGGGCTGTCTTCTCGCGGGGGGGTACAGCCTAGCCGGCTGCAGCGGCGCGTCCGTGAGATCGCCCTGGAGCGCGTGATCGAGGGCGCGTCGATCTCCCGCGTCGGCCTCGCCCTCCGGGCCCGCTTCGCCGAGTCCAGGGAGGGCCGCTTCGACGTTGGCGATTCGGCGGAGATCCTGGGCCCCCGAGCACGAAGGGCGCTTCGGGCTCGGCCGGCCCTGGGGCGGTCATCCCCGCGGGCCCGGCTCGAGGCAAGGTGGCGGCCAGGTACTGCCGAGCCGAAGTGGCGTGCAAATTGCGAGACGTCCGCGCCATCATCGATGCCGTCTTCGTCTACGTAGGCACCTCCATGGCGCGAGCAGGCTTGGCCTGGGACCGCGTAGAGGAAGGACTACCTGGAGCCCTCTCGCCGGGCTCCTGGGCCAGGGCCTTCGGCCGCTGGGGGGTCGCGGACGCGCAGGTAACTGAGCAGACATGGCGGTGCCCAGACAGCCTCGAGGCCCTGCGACCCCGGTCCCGAAGATGCTTTCAGCTGCCGGACTATCGCGCTGCATTTTGATGCGCGGCCAGAGCTCTGTGGGCAACTGGCCGTTGCTGCGCCCGTTGCTAGCAGCTTGGCCATTTGGTGGTTCCTTCGGGCCCCGAGCGACGTCCAGTGCATTCACTTCAATGGGGTCGAGTTCGACGCCCATCAGCTCATCGGCGAGCATTGGGCGGGGGCTCGCGCAATTCATTTCATCGCGGGGCGCGGGCCGTTATTGGCGGCGGACGCCGGACAGGGTTTCGACGGATCGTTCGACGGGGGCGTTCCCGAGGGCGCCGCCAGCGCCGCCGAAGGTGGTTCACCGTCTGCCCTGGCGGCCATGCCCGACGTGGTCGACGGCGGCCTCTCTGGCCGCGCCCAACGTTAGGTGACGTTGGCAGTCTGGCGCAGAGTCGACTGGCCCGTGAGCCCGCGGGGCTGGAGGGCGCCGACAGTCAGCGTCGCATTCGCGCTATCGTCGAGCGCGCCGCGGCCGGCCTCGGTCGCGGGCGCCGCCTTGAGACGCAGAGCCAGCATTGGAGCATCCGCGCGCGGCGCCGCTACTGCCTGCGCGGGGCCCCCACGGGCGACTGCGCCGCGCGAGAGGGGGGGGGGGCGCAAAGGAGGGCGGCGTGCGGAGTTGCATCTTGATCTAGAGGTGCGCTCTGCAGCTCTGGCGAGGAAGCGTCAGGCGACTGTCGCTAGCGCTCCCTGGGCAGCCGCGCCTGGCATCTGCCGCCGTTGAGACCGCGGCCGCAATGCGCGACGCCGACCTTCTTTCTCAAGAAGCGTCGAGGCTGCCGATGGGTACCGCAGCGACGTCCTCGATGAGCTAGCTCACCATCTGGATCAAGTGCTAATCGTTCGAGAGGCGAGCGGGGGCGTCGGTGGCGCAGGGGATTCCAGACGCGTTTCCAAGTGCAAAAACAGGGGGGGACCAGACGGCAAGATGGTCTGGATCATCCGGCGCCGCGCGGCGCTGATGGGGCTTCGCGACGCGGCCGCCGGAGTCTTGGAGGCGTTCGCTGGGGCAGCGAAGGGGGCGTCGCAGCGCCTGCAGTCCCTGGCGGCGGCGCGCTGCCCCGACGGGGTGCGCATCTCTGTGGGCGCCGAGAAGGAGTTCCAACGAGGCGCGGCCTACGGCGAACTGCATGGGGCGAGGTTCAGCGCTCCGCGAGGTGCACTTCGCCCTGCCGCCCGGCGGCGCAGGCGCCCTCTGTCGGGCGCGGGGCCGCGACTGCTGCGGCGAGCGGACTTAGGGTGCTTGCGCTGCGTCAAGCGGGGCGCGGTCTGCAAGGGCGCGCCCCGGGCCTTCCCGCGAACCTCGCCTGGGTCGCGCGCCGCCAGGTGGGCCGGGGGCTTGACGTCATGCGCGAGACGTCGGGTGTCTGTGGCGCCGTCGTGTCGGAGCTAATGGTCGCGTTGTCCATGCGTGCGTCGCCACCTTGCAGCGAGCCAAGAACAGTCTGCTCATCCGGCGCGTGATGCAGCTCAACTCAGTCGTCCTGGCCACGCAGCAAGAAGGGCGCGCATTCCATTGCCAGCCATGGGGCGCGCCAGGCCACTCAGCGCACGCAGCGACGGGTCGTTCAAGAGGTGGGGGGAGACAGGGTGCGACATGAGCGGGGCCGTGGACATGCGTCGCGGCAAGTGCCGCCGCGTCGGCGAACAGGTGTGCCACTTTGCGGAGGCAGTGGGCCGATCGCGCAAGCTGGTCAGCAGATCTTTGTCCGGCTCCGAGATGCTCGCAGCATGCGGCGCAGGCGGGAGACTGCAGGCGCGCCCCTCGCGCTGCGCGAGATGGCGCGCCGCCCCGAGGCTCAGATGGGGAGGGGGGGGGAGGCGATCCCTGCAGATTTCGCTATCGACGGCATGTCCGTCTTTAGCGTCCTGATCATGGACCTAGCGCAGCCGCCTCCCGAGAACAGCGTGGCAGGCCACCCGTGGTAGTGAGCGGACCAAATGCGCGCCAAGCAAAGCGAGGACCTACTCTGGTACGACATTCGGGATCTGCGTGCCGTCGCCGTCGCCCAGGGCAGCATGCGCTGGGAGTTCATCCTCGGCGTGTCGAATGGTCGACCGTCGTAGCTTCACTCGTCTGAACTCAGGTCGAATCGTCAAGTTCTGCGGGCTTCTCGCGGCTAAGGAACGAGGCGATCCGGTTAGTGTTTGAGCGCTGCTCCAGCGGACTGTGCCAATTGAGGGGCAACAGTGACTTATCATGTGCTCCACCAGTAGTCTCTTGAGCGTGGTCAGCAGACCGCTCGTCGCAGGCATGTATCACGATCGTGGTCATTTGAGCATTCCTACTTGCAGCAGCAGCTCGGACACCAACGAGGGCACGACGCACTTTTTGGAACACCGGACTCGAACGGTACGTCGTGCTGCCTTGCTTGCCTCACCCCATCCCTGCCTGTGGCATTGCTGCCCTTCTTCCGCTGCTGTTTCCAGCCAGTGCTGTGCACCGCGCCCGCTACCAAACAAACTGTTCGACATTTTCGCATATTTATATACAGAAGATCCCGTCTTTCACATCAGTCCACGAATGCATTTCTCTGGTCGCATGCCCCTGCTGCTCCTCCTCCTCCGCTCCCCCCTCTCGGTCGGATCGACAAGGGTACGGAAGCAAGTGGTACGAAAACCGACCGCAACCATGATCCATCTTGAACAGGAGTTGTTGTTGTGCCGCCGTGGGCCTTGTCCAGTCGAGACAGAACGCCGCCTGCCCAGCAGGGGCCGCTGATGGGTTCGGGCAACATTTGCTGGTGGGCATCGTAACTCTTTTCCTCCGTGTCCATCCCGGGCGTCCAAATCAGCCCCCCCTTCCAGTACCCATCCCCATCCACATCTTCACGCCTTTCGTACCCCCCCCTTTCCGCCCGACCCGCGCCGACAACGTTTGCACAGAGTTTCTAGCCGAAAACCCGCCTGTCATTCCTCATCCCCTCTTCCTGCTCGCCGCGTCCTCGTCATGATCCCGATCCTCGTCCCCGCCGCCGCTTCCGACCGTCGCCCCCCGCCCGTCGCCCAGACGTCGTATTTCTCGCCGTTGTTCTACGTCCTGAGCCTGGTGCCCCGCGTCGCAAGCAGCATGCCCCAGGGGGGGAAAGACGGCAGGTGCGAGGGCTGAACGCAGCTTTCATGGGTAGCGTCAGAGGGGGGCCCCTCAGGGAGCGAAAAGGTGGGGGCGGCGCATCGCACAGCGACGACGGCGACGGCGGCGACGACGACGACGCCCTGCGAGTCGCCTCCCGCTGGTCAGGCCCGGGTCGATCGCACAGTTCGGGTCGGACGGACGGATAACGGGGTGGTGCAGAGTCTGCTGCGTGCATCAGTGGCAACGTTCGGGGAGATCGGTTCAAGGGGGGATGCATCGACCCCCCATCGCCCATGTATCGCCTCAGCCCTGGCTTTGACGGGGTACGTACCTTTACATTCTTCGTTCTTGGGTTTCTCCTTGGAGTGTTCTTGGTTTCGGGCGTCCCCATTGGGCCTTGGGCGAAGGGGCTCACCTTCTGGAGGCGCGCTTTTGTGGTCGTATCTCAGCTTCACCACCCGCCAAATCACCCCAACCCAGCCCGAAAGCTCAGATTTACCCTCGATTTCTAGTGGGGGGGGGGTCCGGGAACATCGAAAAAATACGTATGGAGCCCATACCCCCCCCAACCCGAAATTCGGGTCTTCGGGTTGGGTTTGGGTGGTCTGGTAGGTAAGCAGTGTCGGGCGTCGTGCCGATTTGCTCCGTACCCATTCCGGGCGCCCACAGGGAAGAAGCTGCCCAGCAACGGCCCAGCAGCTGCTGCTGTCGGTTTCTGACGACACGTCGTGTGGGGCATCGTGCCAACGTGCTCCGTGCCCAGTTCGGGCGCCCCAACGGAGGAAGACGAAGGGGTCCGGAGCTGGTAGTCACAGCTGGGCCGGAGCAGGAGGCCATCGTCCCCGCGGGAGCGCGAAGACTGTAAAGAGGGGCGCGGCGCGAGAGAGCTCGAAGAGGATCGCGCGGCGCTTTCCGGTCGAGCCTGGGAGGCCAGGAGGCGGACTTGAGGAGGAGGAGGAGGAGGGGGAGGAGGAGGAGGAGGGGGAGGAGGAGGAGGGGGAGGAGGAGGGGAACGGAGGAGGAGGAGGAGGCGGAGGAGGAGGAGGAGAAGGAGGAGGAGGAGCAGCAGCAGTAGCAGCAGCAGCAGCAGCAGCGGCAGCAGCAGCAGGCAGGAGGAGGCAGGAATCAGGAGGCAGGCGGAGGCATGAGGAGGAGCAGGCATGGGGACGAGGAGGAGGCAGAAAGAGCAGCAGGCAAGAGGATATGGCAAGAAGGAGGAGGCAGGAGGGTGTAGGAGGAGGGCGCAAGAGGGACCCTCATGCAAGCTAAAACGATTATCATGCGGGGCCTTTCCGTTGGAGTAATTATAATTGTCATTCGGACGTCAAATTGTTTGCAGGTCTATGTCGCTTGGTGTCCTTGGACGAGTACGAGTGGCAGGAGGAGACGGCGGAGGAGGAGGAGGAGGAGGAGGAGGAGGAGGAAGAGAACGAATATTAGGACCAGTGTGCACCCAAGACGCATCAAGGTTGTCGCGATAAAGGCTCCCTTCAAGTTTTCTAACCATCGGTTGCCACAGTATTGCATTTTCATTGCGGGCAGTGCCCCACTGAGCAACAACCGTCTGAGAATTCTTCATCGCACCAAATTCACACATCCCATGGCTTCAACGCCGCGAATTAGCGTGGCTGTTGCGTCCTGGCAGACCCAAGTCGTATCGGCACGCCGTTCCTGGGACTTCAACACCGCGAATCAACGTGACGTTTGCGTCTTGACAATCCTAAACCGTGCCAGAACACTATTCCTGGGACCTCAGCTTGATGAATGCATCGAACTGTGGCTTTTTTTAGATTTATTGTGCTCGGCGCTGAGGCGAGAGCCACATTTTAAAAGGGAGCTCCCTTCAATGTTTGAAATGCCTGCAAACTGTTAAGACGAATGCGCGCGGCGCTAATGCGATAACCGCAGTTTGAACAATGAACCGCCTGTATCCATGAAGCTGTCGCAAACTTTTAGAACGAATGTGCGCGGCGCTAAGGCGAAGGTCACATGTTGAACACCAGCCGCCTTTCATCTTGAAGTTGTTGCCAAGTTTAAGCTTCAGGATCATACAAACGTAACGAGGAAGTCTCAGGCGACACGTCTGGGGGTGCGACCGTGACGAGCTTTTTATGAGAGAATGAGTTGGAGGAGGAGGAGGAGGAGCAGGCTGCGGCGAATACGTATGTGGAGGATAAGGTTCTTTTGAAGCGTTGGGGGCTGCTAGTACTCTTGTGCTCGCGTCCCTTCATGTTGACGCCGCGCCATGTCGAAGGAACAGTAAATCATGGATGTCTCCCGTGTGCTGGCGGGGTCCTTGGGCTTTCATGTGTGCCCCCCCTGTCTATCGTTCCCTCCTCCAGGCTCCCTCCTCCCTTTCCCTCTTCCTCTTCCTCTTCTTCCTCCTCCTCCCTTCTCCTTCTCCACCACCTCCTCCTCCTGCTCTCTTCCTGTTCCTCCTCCTCCTCCTCCTCCTCCTCCTCCTCCTCCTCCTCCCCCTCCACCACCTCCTCCTCCTCCTCCTCCTCCTCCTCCTCCCACCTCCTCCTTCCCTCTCCCGCGCGAGCCGCCGCTGCGTCGGAGGCCCATCGCAGCAGCGCCAGCGACTCGACGTGAGGCTTTAAACCCCATCCCCTGCCGCGTGCCGATGAAAGCGTGCCATTTGCTGTTCGGGCCGTGGGATGTTCACACCACGCCTTCGCTGATGCCATATCCTCCGAATCCTTATGAGATGACCAGCGCAAATGCCAACTATGCCAACGCCACCCAATAGCACGCAGTCGATGCCATCCATGAATCACAATGGCACAGCCAATGGACAGGTGGCTACCAACAATGCAGAGGGCGCCCGTTCTCTCTGCCTTCGCCTCTGTGCTCCGTCCTCTTCCCCCCCTCGTCCGTGTTCGCCTGGCCACCAGGCCACCAGCCTGTGGGACGTCGGCCGGCTGGGCAGGAAGCCGGGATTGGGAAGCGAACCCAGGACCCTTGTACCGCTTGCTGAAAAAGGCCCGAAATCAAGACCCAGGAACCCAGGAACCCCGGCCGCCCACCGGAATTGGCCCGGTACCTCCACCCAGTCCTTGGATATCCGGTAAGGCTCCTGCAGGGCAAGCACCAGTTGCGGAAGGAACTTCATGTGAGCTTCGCGCCGATGTCTTGGATCGGCGCTGGACGCCCCCTGGCAACGCCTCCAGCGTCGCCCCTGGCACGCTCCGCGCGCCAGGGAGGGGGACCCAGCGCCGATCTGAGAACTCCGCACAGAGCTCCAACAATTTATGTTTATTCAGCTTCGTTTCTCGCTCTATTTGGAAGGCCAGCCCAAGCCGACGAACATGAGACACCGACCACCGACCCAGGGACGATATGCCTGCAGCGATCTATTGCCAAGTCCTGACGAATTTTCTTTACGGAGCAAGAGCGGACCGCCATGGTCTCCTGATAACGGCCTGCGACTCGTTCGGGCTGCGTCTCCTCTCTGGGACTCTGGGCTGGGCCTCCCTTTGCTGGGGACGGCCCTCGGGGGTAGAGAGCCTTACAGCGAGGTGGCACGCAGACTGCTGCAATGCCGAGTCCGACTGGCCCTCGTTTCTCGCTGCCTTCTCCCTCCTTCCTCCTTCCTCCTCCTCCGTCTCTTGGCGTTGACGCCCGTGCTGCAATCTTGTCCGTTCCTCCCCTCCGTTGCCTTCGAGAGAGTGGGTGATCGTCCTTCTTCGCGGCTCTCGCATGTAGATGTTTCAATGCTGCTCTCCCTCCTCGCTCCTGTCCAGCAGTTTGGCTCCAGGTGCGCAGCGCCTAGAAAGGGTCAGAGCAATCCAGCCAGCCACGGGCCGCAGCATGCCGGGCCACCCGCAGGACTCGCAGCAGGTGCTCTCAGTGCCTGCAGGCGGCGGGCCACTCCAGCCGAACTGCCGCAGCAGGCCCGGCCTCTGGCAGAGCTCACCCCAGGTGCTCTCCGCGCCCGCGGCCGAGCCGCGCCCGGAGCCGTCCCGAGGCCGCGGGCCCGCGGGCGCGCCCGCCCCCGCGCCGCGATGGAGCCACGCGGCGGCAGAGCCGCACCTGCCGGCAGGCGGCGGCGACGGGCGCGGGGCCTCCGCGCTCTCCGCCGCCGCGACGCCGGAGGCGCCGCTGTCCCCCTCTGCGCCGAGCGCGGGGCCTCCGACGGACGGCGCCGGCGGCAGCAGGGCCGGCGCGCCCGTGGCCTTGCAGCCCGGGGGCCTCGCTCGCGAGGTGCTGCGGGTGTCCGGCGGGGGGCCAGGCCATCTGCGGGGGAGGCGACCGCCTTCGCCAGCTGCGGCTGGATGCTCGCAGCCGGGCTCGGGCGACCGCATCGGGGGCGAGTGCGGGCAGGACGAGCATGGGGCAAGGTGGCACGGTGGCACGGGCGAGGGTTGCCGCGAGGGCATGCCGCCAGATGCTACACAGACATTCGCGGACCTTCTGAGGCAGCAGGTGGAAGCTGCCAAGCACATCATCGTTCTGAACGAGAGGATCGCAAAGTCCTGCCTGCAGCTCTGCGAGTCTGCCTCGGGCCAGGCGTTTTGCCTGCGCGAACAAGGCAGAAGCGACAGCACGACGAGCAGCTTCCAGCAGAGCGGCCATCGGCAGCGCGCCGGAGTCGCGACTGGCATGCCAGCGCGTCCGCGACAGTGGCCGGGACCGCCTGTGGACTCTGGCCTGTGCGGCTCGACGGACGCCAGAGGAGGGGGCGCCCTGCGAGGGCACAGCCCCGACGCCACGCGCCGCGAGGGCGCCAGCCCCTGCGGCGCAGCGACCGCTGCCGCAGCCGCTGGCGCGACCTCGCCGGCCCCTCTGCGCAGCCCGGCTCTGGCCGGCGAGGCGCTCGCGGAGGCGGGGTGCCCGGAGCTGGAGCTGATGGGGGGCCCCTGCGAGAGCCACGCCGGGGGGCAGCTCCAGGCTGCCGCGCCGGCGGCGCTGCCCTGGGCAGGGCCCAGGCTACGAGCGCCGTCGCCGGCCGACGGCGCGGCCACCCAGCTCCGCAGCGGCTCGGAGCTCTGGCGCCACGTTTCCAGGACCGTGTCCACCGGCTCTGCTGCTTCTGAGGGCGCTCCAGCGCCGCACCACGGCCCGGCGACGCGAGGGGCAGCTTCGCGGGAGGGCGGCCGCGAGAGTCCTGCCACGGCGGTGCCGGGAGGTCCCCTCGCGGCCGAGCGGCTACCCCCCGCAGCCGCAGGTGCCGCCAGGCCTGCACCGCCGGGAGGTGGCCCGTGCAGCGGGAGTGCGGCCGCTCGGGAGCCGCTGCTGTCTGGTGGCCGCTCGGCCGAGCACGCCAGGGCCCATGCCGGGATCCGAACGGTGGGCGATGCATCTGTGGCTGTGTCGCGCCTCAGGAGGGGAGGCGCTCTCGCCAGCCTCGAGAGGAAGAGGCTGTGCGACAGTGCTGCCAGGAAGCGTCAGAAGATCGAAGACCTGGCTTCCTGGGAGGGGAGGATGTACAAGGATAGTGGGTGCTGTGCTGAGGTGGCAAGGAACTCGAGGTTTCGCTCGCTTGCCATGGTCGCGGTGTTGCTCAGTACGTTATGGCTCGGTGTGGAAACGAACTACGCTAAGGGTGCGGATGAGTCTGCCGTGTGCCAGGTGATTAATCGAATTTTCTGCGCGTTTTTCTTGTTCGAGATAGCTGTCCGTATTGGGGCCCTCAAGCAGAAACGCGTCTTCTTCCAGAGCCCGTCTTTCTTGCTGGACATTTTCTTGGTGCTCGTCATGATGAATCATGCTGGCGCCACTTCCGCCTCTGGGCTATTGGTAGGCGAAAAGCGACAGCCCAACGTGTAAAACATTTTCCATTCAATTGGTCTACATAACTCTGCCGCTCCACCGAATAGTGGATTTTCGAGTGTGATTATTGCCCCAGCAATGCGTCCAGAAACGATGTCCAGGCGAGCGGTTAGAAGAAGGGAAGCAGATGAACATACGTGGAAGTTACAAGGTGAACGATGCCTAACCAAGGGACCTCTGGGAGCCGTTTGGAGGTCTTTTGAAGCCATCTTGGATGTCTCTTGCTGCCCGTTTGCGAGCAGTTGAGGCCTTTTTTTTTGGGGGGGGTCTTGGAGCCGCATTGGAAAGGCGCTCTCGGGGGACTGTGCGCCCGTCTCGCATCGCTTTTGGGTCCTGATTGAGGCTCTCTTTGGCGATGCTGGAGCCATCTTCAGGCCACAAAAGGCCCATCGGACGCGAAAAGGTGCATTCGTACGACGCCTTTGCTCTCAGGGGTACCCTCCGTCGCGGCTGGCATCCGTCTTGGGGCCGCCCGGCCGTGCCGGCGCTTCCCCGGAGCCTCCCCGGAAGATGTCTTGGGCACCTCGGAGGCGTCCGAGCGCGGCTGCGCAGGCTCGGAGTGCCCGGGAGCCTCGGGGAAACGTCGGACTCGAGCAGTCCGGAATTCGGGTTGGCCGACGTTTCTTGACGGGCGCGTCCTGGAGTTTGACGGTCCAGTTTTCCCGCCATGTCTGCAGCGGGGGTTCGCGCCAAATTTCAGATTGGGTCTTGCCATTTTCATGGTGAGCTCGTGGTGAGTCGGGCCTGTCCCTCTACAGGAGGAATATTCCAGAATGGTCAATTAATAGTCTGGGGTCGATGTTTTGAGCATTGTTTGACCATTTGGGGGTTCTCTTCTTGGACTATTTTTAACGTTTCGTCCAAAATCCCCCCTGTAGGAGGACAGGCCCGACTGAAAGCTCGTGCCCCCCGTGGCGCGGAGGATGCTCTCGCTGCCCGCGTCGTGGCCTCGGCCAGAGAGAGGCGGTGCCCCTCCTCGAGGGCTGCAGCGCGAGGGCGGGGAGGGGGCCGCGCGGCGCGCAGGGAGTGGTGTCGAGTCGGGCACGTCCCTCTGCAGGAGGACAGCTCTCGGGAGCTGGAGCATGTACGTTGCCAGTGGCGGGTTGTTTTTTCAATCCCACGACCTCTTGAGGGTCGGGGACGATGTCGAGGTTGTGTGGTGTATGCGCTTCCTCCGTTCTCCAAGGGAAGCAACGAAACCTGTACACACCAGGATCCCGTATACACCAGGATCCGCGTTCGTGTGCGAATTTCAGCGCAGGGTCGGAAAACGCGTCGGTGTATAGAGCTCGTTTCCCTAAATTCAAAAATAGACAAAATCGCCTGGACTCGATTTCTCAACCATTTTTGACGATTGTCGAGCATGTTTTCGACATTTTTTTGTTGCGTCCACAATCCGCCTGCAGGAGGGCATGCCCGACCCAAGCGTAATGTTCAGGTGGCCTGTGGGAGTGCGGGATGGAAGACAGCCGATCATCCCGCACGCCGCCACCCGAGACTATGCACAAGCATGGACTGCGGCGCGCAGATCTGGGACAAGTCTGATTGTCGGCGCTGCATGGTTTCGGTGGATTACTTCCCCCCCCGCGCGCACGTGCCAGATCCACGCAGCTGTGGTCCATCGTATCGTGCGCCTGTTTCTCACCCCTGGCAAGCGGCGGTCGGGTGATGTTGTAGGTTTTTGTCTATCCTGGACCTCTCCCCAGGCGGGTGTGTCTGGAGGCCTCAGGCGTGCCGTTTTGGGGGCCCGGTGGGGCTTCCTGCGGTGACTTGGGGGTGTCTTGGGCCGTGCTGGCAGCCTGGTGGATGGTCCAGGTGCGGGCACTACACGCGCTCGCCGAGGGCCTTGTCGAAGACATCGAGGATCGGATCCCCTGGGTGACTACAGTGGAAGCCCATGCCAGGACACATGCCCTTTCCAGGGACATCAGACAGCATGACATGACATGCTTCATCTGTTTTTTGTCCAGGCCCCCTGTGAGACAAACCGACCGCCTGGGTGTCGCGTCGCGCGTCGGCCATCCCGGCATCTGCCCCGCTCGCCCCCGACCCCGCGTGGAGTCGGGGGCGGAAAAGAGGGGGGTGATGACTAGGGAGGGGTGGATATCATGGCGGGGGCCATGATATCTCCCCAGATCTCATGGCGCCCCTTCTTGTTCCATTACGTCCCTGGCCCCCCCGCCGGGCCGCGCACGTGCCGCCGGTCATGATTTGCACCCCCCCCCTCTTGGTCACCCCCCTCTTGGCCGCTCCCGACCGACCCCGCGTGGAGACCGAGAGGCGCCAAGCGGCGCTGGCCTTTGGGGCCAGCGGGGTCGGGGACAGGTCGCGGGGACCCGGGCAGGCGCGCGGGCGCTTCCGCTCGTTCGGCCGCGGAGGAGGAGGAGGAGGAGGAGGAGGAGGAGGAGGAGGGAGGAGGAGGAGGAGGGAGGAGGAGGAGGAGGAGGAGGAGGGGAGGAGAGAGGAGGAGGAGGAGGAGGGGAGGGAGAGGAGAGGAGGAGGAGGAGGAGGAGGAGGAGGAGGAGGAGGAGGAGGCCTCCAAGAGCCCGATCGGGCAGGGCCCACAGGGCCGACCGACAGCCTCACATCCTTCTCGGAGAGGCCCACGGCGGATCGCCGCCGCCCCCCCCCTCTGCCTCTGCAGCCGCTCGCGGGGCCGAGTGCTGTGGCGAGAGCTCTGCCGAGCTGTCGGAGCACATTCGGGGGGGGACACTCGGGGGGGGATGGCGGGGAAAGTCAGGAAGATGACGATGATGACGATGATGACGACGATGATGATGCTGATGATGATGCTGATGCTGATGCTGATGCTGATGCTGATGCTGATGCTGATCCTGATGATGCTGTTGTTGCTGTTGTTGTTGTTGATGATGATGGTAACGTTGATGATGCTGACCATGATTGATGATGATCATGATGATGATGCTGCTGATGATGATAATGATGATGCTGCTGAAGAAGATTATGATGATGATGATGCTGATGATGATGATGATGCTGATGCTGATGCTGATGCTGATGCTGATGCTGATGCTGATGCTGATGCTGAGGCTGAGGCTGATGCTGCTGATGATGATGATGATGATGATGATGATGATGATGATGATGATGAGTAGGAGGAGGAGGAGGAGGAGGAGGAGGAGGAGCAGGAGGAGGAGCAGGAGGAGGAGGAGCAGGAGGAGGAGCAGGAGGAGCAGGAGGAGGTGACACCTTGTGAGCCTCCGGGGGCACTCTTGGGAACCTCCTTGGGCCTTTTTGGGGACTTTTTGGGCTCGGGGGCCTCTTTGGCCGTCTTAAGGTATTCCTGGCCAGTCTGACGCCGTCGGAAGCGGTCTTAAGGGCCTCTCTGAGCCGAGTTCTGGCTCTTCTGTGCCGTTTTGGGGCCATACTGGAGGCCATCTTGAGCGTCTCTGAGGTCTCTTGGGCTGGCTTGGGGTTCCTTGGGGCTGTCTTTGGGGCCTCTTGGGCCGTTCTGGGGCCATCTTGGAGGCCTCATTTAAGGCGATCTCGGGATGATTTTTGAGGGCTCTTGTGCCGTCTCGGGCCGTCGGGGGGCTGAAAAGAAACACGTGCAACACTCCTTGAAACGCCTGCGGGAAATGCATGATTTTAGCTTCTTCGGGCCTTCTTGGAGACCCTCTTGGAGTTTGCCCTCTTGGAAACCTCTTGGGGGCCTCTCGGGCCGTCTTGGGCCATCTTGGAGCTATCTTGGGCCGGCTTGGTGGCCTCCTGGCCCGTCTGACGCTGTCGGAAGCCGTCTTGGGGGCCTCTTTGGGCCGACTTGGGGCCCTCTTGACTTGCTCCAGGGCCGTCTTGGAGGCTATCTTGGGCGTCTTGGAGGTCTCATGGGTCGTCTTCGAGCTTGGGGCCGTCTTGGGGGCCTCTTGGGACATTCTGGGCCCATCTTGGAGGCCTCCTGGGCGATCTTGGGGTGATCCTTGGGGGCGCTCGGGCCGCTTCGGGCAGGCAGAAGGCCGAAAAGAAACAATGGGGACATCATGGCCCGTGCATGTACGTTACGGATGTGCAGCATGGATTTCTGTGTGTCGTCGCCACCTTTTAGTCTCGTTCTTCCGAGGGGGGCCCCGTCGGGCCCCGCCGGGGCCGGGTGCCCCCCCGATGCGGCGCGCTTCCGCGCGCGAGGAGACGATCGCGGCGGAGCCCGCCGCGGGCGCGGCGCGGCCGATCGCGGCGGCCGGCGTGCAGGGGCGCCTCGACTTCGCAGACGGCGGCGGGCTGGGCTGCGCGTTCCGGGAGCTCGGTGAGGAGGCTGGCCTGGTGTCGGGGGCGGAAAAGAGGGGGGTGATGACTAGGGGGGGGGGGGATATCATGGCGGGGGCCGTGATATTTCCCCAGATCTCATGGCGCCCCTTCTTGTTTCATTACGTCCCTGGCCCCCCGCTTGACCGCGCACGTGCCGCCGGTCATGATTTGCCCCCCCCCCCCCCCTCTTGGACACCCCCCTCTTGGCCGCTCCCGAACAAGGTGGGGGTGGAGTGGTGCTGGAAGCGGAATAGGCCGAAGGAGGTCCACTGGTTCCACCACCGCCTCGCGCCCGGTGAGGGCGCCTGGGGGCCGCGAGAGCCGCGGACGCGCGAGCTCGCGTGGTTCGCCGCGCAGGAGCTGGGCGGCCTGCCGTTGAAGGGGGAGTTCCCCTGCTTCGCCGAGGAGGCGCTGCGACGGGCGCGGCCGCGGACGGCGTTGCAGCCCGCGTCCAAGAGGCTCCCGGCGTTGCCTCTCGCCAGTGCGCGCCCCGCGCCCGCGGCCCGCCTTCGCTGGAGAGCGGGCGCGCTTGGCGGCGGCGGCCAGACGGGGCCGCAGGAAGCGGAGGGCCCTGGCTGAGCGCGCGGGCGCCGCCCCGCCCCCCAGGGCCCTGGCCTGGGAGCTGGCAGCGCGGGGGGGGGGGGGGGCTAGAAGTGGGGCGGCGACGCTGGCGGTCACCGCGAGGCGGCGGCGATCGGCCGCCGCGCCCGCGCCCGCCGAGCGAGGGCGCGATGCCGCTTTGTCGCGGCGCTGGAGGAGAGACGGCGCCCCGACCCCAGCGGAAGACGCGGAGGTTGTTGGGGGGGGCATGGCCGCGGCGGCGGAGGTGAGAGGCAGCAGCGGGGCAGCGCCGAGGGCGCGGGGCGCACGGGCGATCGTGGAGACCGCCGCGGCCGCGACAGGGGTGCTGCCTCCTCGGGGCCATGGTCGGCCCTGGGCCCGGGGTCGAGCTCCCCCCCGGGCCCTTTTTGCAGGGGCAAGGTGGCGGCCGTCTGCCGCCCGCGCGAGGAGCTCGCAGTTTCTTGCCGCCCCCCGCGCCGACCGAGGCAGGCCGCCGAATTCGCGGCATGTGCGAGCGGGCCAGTTCGTTCGGGCGCGAGGCCAGGATAGCCCAGGAGGTCGGAGAGATGGTGGGCGCCATCAACTGGATGTCAGGCTGCAGCACGCCCGCGGGGCCCGCTAATGACATGCACCAGGACGTGCCCGCGCGCTTCGAGGGCCTCGTCTGGGGCCGGTTTCCGAGCGCCGAGCTGCAATCTCCGCTGGCGGCCCACAGGAGCTGCCGCGGGGCCGCTCGCCCTACGTTGGGCGGGCTGGCCCGACGACGGTCGCCTCGTACAGTGTAGGGCTCGTCGGCGTGCCGAGGGACGCGAGCGGTTGCCCGCGGCTGGAGGTTCTCTTGCCTGACGAGGCCCTTACCTACCTGAAGGAGCGCCAGGGGCGCATGCTCCGAGAGAAACCCTTGGATGCCGCAGTCGAGCCCTACTTCGACTCGGGCTTGAAGTTCAACCAGAAGGAGTGCGGGGGCCTGGTACGACACCAGATTTCGGCTGGCATCCTGGGCTGGTCTCTGACGCCGATGGAGAGGATTGGATGGGCGGGCGGAAGCGACTCCGCTTCTTAGCGGGCGCCCGCAGGGGTAACGCCCGCTTCCGTGACCCACCCGGCGTCGACTTGCTCATCAGCGACGGGCCGGCGAGGATCGAGGTGAAGCTGCCGGGGGCAGGCGTCGGTGACGTCGACGATCTGAGGCAGGCGTGTAGGCCCAGCAGGTGTGCGTCGGGATGGCGGACGTCAAGGATTGCTTCCATCGTCTCCGCGTCGATGCGGAGCTCTCGCGCTGCCTCGGCCTGCCGCCGGCGATGGCGGCCGCGTTCGGGATCGCTGCGTGTGCGTGGGCGACCTGGGGGTGTTCTCGCTCGTCCGCGAGCTGGTGTCGGGCGTGTTGGGCCAGCTGGAGGGCGAGCTCACGGGGCAGGCGGTTCTGGCGATGCCGCCGGGCGATCCAGGGGCTGCTGGCTCGGCGCGAGGTGAAGGGCTGGGCCGTGGAGGCGCTGCTGGGCCACCCCACCTTCTGCGGCCTCTGCTCGCGGGGCGCGCTCTCGACCTTCAACGCCGTCTATGGTTTCGCGCGGGCGCGCTGCGATGCGCCGGGCGCGCCCGATGCGCGGGCGCGCTGCGATGCGCCCGCGTTGGCGGCATTCTGTTCCCTGGTGCATTTCCTCGAGGCTGACTGGTAGCTCCCGTGGAATCCGATGGCGCGGCAGTCCGACGCCAGCCTGCGCGTGCACGGGCTGGCGCGAGGCTTCTGGCCCAGGGGGCTGGTGGAGGAGGTTGGGCGCGTGCCTGGGCGGGCCTGACTCCTTCGGGCTCGCCTGGGGACCTTTTGGTTTCTTTGTGAGCCGTTGTGGAGGCTTCTTGGGGAGCTCTTGGGCCGTCCTGGGCTATCTTGGGCCGTCTTGGTGGCTTCTTGGGGAATTTGGAGGCATCTCGGATTCGCGTGAACCGTCTTGGAGGCCCTCTTGGACCATCTTGGGCGAATTCGGAGGCTATTTTGGCTGTGTTGGAAGCCGTTTTGGGCCATTTTGGAGTCTTCCGGACCGGGGGCATTGTTGCATCCAGGTCTTTCGGATGGCCGGAGCCCCAGGGGAGAGTTCTCTCGGAACAAACCCAAACCAAACCAGTAGGTTCAGCACTCTGGGCACCCTCTGGCAAGACCACGAGGGGGCGGCGGATCTCATGTCTTGCGACCCATCCCGCCGCTGTGCTTGGGTTGTGGGGTGGAGCCTATTGGATGTTCGTTGGGGTTTCGTGGGGGCCTTTTTTGGGGGTGCCTGTGGAGGCAGTTTGGGCGCCTCTTGGGGGGCGTTTAGGGGGCCTCTTGGGGCCTCCTTTGGGGTTCTTATGGGGCCTCTTGGAGCTTTTTGGGGGTCTCTTGGGGCTTTCTTGGGGCCCCCTGGAGGCCTCTTGGGGCGGGCGGCATAGATTTTCGGTTCGTGTTCCGTCTTTCGGGCCAGCGGCATTAGGGCCGTTTGGGAGCGTCGGTAAGCCAAAAAGGTCTGGAGCATTTTGGCTTCTCGGGGCTCTCTTGGGGAGGCTCACAGGGCGTCTTGGAGGCTTCTTGGGGCCATCTTGGGGCCAACTTGAGCGTCTTGGAGCGATCGTTTGGCGACTCTGGGCCCTCTTGGACCGTCTTGGAGGCGTCTTGAAGCCCTCTTGGCCTGTCTTGGAGCCTTCTGGGGCCATAGAACTTCATGCGGCACGACGCCGCGAACCCCAGGGGGCACGCGGGAAGATCTGGGAGATTTGAGAATTTGGGCCCGGGGCCTTACAGGAATTCTTGAAGACTGAGACTGAGGCTCAGGGGGATGAGCAACGGACCTGGGGACACGCCCACTCCGTGCCCAGCGGCACAGTGGCGGATGACCTCGTGGGAGGCCTTTCGGGTCCCTCTTGGAGGCAGCTTTGCGGTCTCTTGAAGGCTGTCTGGGAGCCTTTTGTGGGCTCTTTGGGCCCATGTTGGGCCTGCTGGGGGCCTCTTAGGGGACATCTTGGAGGCCCGAAAGGGCCTCCTGGAAGCCTCTGAAAGCGGAGCGCTAGATTTTTCTGTCCCTGGTGCTAATCTGGGGCCTGTCTTGGGGCCTTTTTGGGACCCTCTTGGCCCGTGTTGGGCGGCTCTTGCGCCGTCTTGGGGCCCACTTGGGCCGTCTTGGGCCCCTCTTGGGGCCTTCTTGGGCCTCTTCGGCCGTCTTGGGACAATCTTGCGGGCCTCTTGGCCGTCTTGGAGCGCGGGGCAGCCGACAAAGCGCGAACGCGAAAGTCCATCGAACACCTGAGGACAATCCATGATTTCGGCTTCTGGGGGCCCTCTTGGGTGGCTTCTTGGAGGTCTCTTGGGGCGTCTTCGGTGCCTCTGGGCATCTCTGGGGGCCTTTTTGGGGCGTCTTGGGCCGATCTCGCGGCGACTTGAGGCCGTCTTCGACCGTGGCCTCATAAACCCCTCTGGGCCCGTCTGGGGGCTCCCTCGGGCCCGAACAAGTCACGCGACGAGGCGCGCCAAGCCCCGGGGGGCACGCGGGAAGGCCCGAGGGGTCTTGCAATTTTGGGTCCAGGCCCCTAAGGAACTCCTCTGGACAGAGGACTGAGGCTCATGGGAAGGGGCAAAGGACCTGAGGACACGCCCACTCCGTGCCCAGCGGCACGGTGGCGGAAGCCTCAAGAGGGACCTCGTGCGAGGCCTCTCGGGGGCCTCTTGGAGGCATCTTTGCGGCCTCTTGGAGGCTGTTTGGGGGCCTCTCGTGTGCTCTTTGGGCCCATTTTGGGTTTCCCAGGGGTTTACTTGGGGTCCGGGCCCTTGAGAAACTCCTCATGACTGAGGACTGAGGCTGATGGGAGTGGGCAGTTGACCTGAGGACACGCCCACTCCGCGCCCAGCGGCACGGTGGCGGATACAAAGCTTTTGCGGGACAGTTTTTTTTTTGGGTTGGTTTTCCGGGGGGAAGCGTTTTCTGCCCCCCACGAAGCCAAGGGGCGTTTCTTCTTCGACCCCTGTCGCGCTCGAGTGGTGCAGGCTTTTTCCGGGGGGCCCTCTCGCGGTCGTCGATCGGGCGCCAAGGGGGCCGTCGACCGCGCTGACTGGCCAGCGGGGCCGCTGGCCCCGAGGCGAGCCCTCCACCAACGTTGGCACCGGAGGGCCCCGAGGAGGGGGGCCGCATTGTATTACGGTTTGTATATGCTTATTCTTGCCTCCATGCTGTACTGAGTTCCCTGGGTTTCGAGGGGTTACGATGGAGAGCGTGACGTTCCCATACGAATTACGCTATCGAGGAACCCCACATACGGTAGGTTTGCGTCGTGTCGACCAGCGGCGACCCCAGCGCGGGCGTTCAAGGTTGAACGCCGCCGGCGACCTAGAATCGATCGATGTTGAACGATCGGACGTTGCGGCAGCGGCCGATCGTTCAAGGTTGAACGATCCCTGCGGTGTCAAAAACCAACGCTGGGGTCGGCACGACACGAACCTGCCGTATTCTTGCCTCCATGCTGTACTGAGTTCCTTGGGTTTCGATGGGTTTGCGATGGAAGGCGTGACGTTCCCTACGAACAACCAATGGACGTCTGGCTGTTCTTGGGCTCCTTGTGTAAGGTTTCTTGTTGTCGAGCTTCTACTGTACATGGTGTGCTCTCCCCCCCCCGGGCTATCTGTCCGCCCCTACCTCGAAGAAGAAAACGACACAAACATAAACTTTCGAATTTCCGCCCGGAATTCTTGGATCGGCGCTGCCGCCCCCTGGCGGCGCCTCTGGTGCCGCCCCCGGCGCGCTCCGCGCGCCAGGGAGATGGGTTCAACGCAGATCCAAGGAGTCAGCGCGGACCTCCAACAGTGAGTGTTTATGCAGAGGTTTCTGTCTACGGTTGCCTCCTAGGACTTTTGGACATCTTTCAAGCCGTCTCCAGGAAGAGCTGTCGCCCAGATCCCCCCCCTGGATGGCCCCGTACATGCCCCAGCCAGACCTGCAATCCTTGGCCTGTCGGGGTGGGCCATTTAGGCAGCGGTAGAGTCTTACACGCGCCTGGTGGCTTCAAAGGGGTCGGCAGATCTGGGAGTCTTGGCTGCAGGCTATTTTCTCTGCCTTTCTGTACTCGAGTAGTCGCACAACAGCATCTGGATTCGGGGGTCAGCTGCTTTCTCTTCGCATACTTCGCATCGTGCGGATCCTGCGTTTCGCCCGCGCTCGCAAGCTGTGGGAGGCCGTGCCCGAGCTCCTGACCTTCATCGAGGGGATGATGCTCGGCGTGCGAGCAGTGGCTGCGAGCTTGCTCATGCTGATCGCCGTCATCTACGTGTTCGGCATCATTTTCACGCAGCTACTGGGTGACACCGAGGCGGGGAAAGGATGCTTTGAGACAGTGCTGACGTCCATGCATTTCCTTTTCCTCACAGCACTCTGCAGCATCGACAAGAATTTTATCGGCGACGCTTCCGGCGAGTCACCACCGGCCGTTGCCTTCTTGTCAATGCCCATGTGGCCAAACGTTGGGCCTAGGTGCGGCTAAGCCATTGGTCACCGAGCGCCTTCCACTTCTCGCAAAGTGCCTTCTCGCAAACGTCCGAGAAACACATGTCTGTTTTGATGTAATTTATCGTAGATCCTCCGCGGGGGATCCAGGCCATTTGCGAGTAGTCACTTTGCGAGTAGTGGAACGCGCTCGTCTAATTGGTCTCCTCCCCATCTGTTGCAAACGTAGCTGGTAGAGCGTGCTGGTAGACTAGTTGTGCAAGATGGGGGGCCTCTCGGGCCCACTGAGGCGGCATCCTGTGCCATCTCGGGCTCCCCATGGGGCCAGCTCGGGCGCCCCGCGGGCTGCGTGGCAGCCACTTGGGCCCCTCGTTGGGCTGTTCTGGGATTCACTTGGGGGCCTCGCGGGAGATTCTCGAGGGCTCTCCCTGGCCAGCGCAGCGCCTCGTGGAACCTCTCGGGGCCTGTTGGATCCTCTCAGGGCTTTGTGCTAATGCGAGCGCGGACTCGTTGGAACTCGCGAGGGAGGACGTTGTGATGGAGTGAGCGCGGACCAGTAGGATCGTGCGTGGGATCATGTCCGTGGGAGCGCGGACCACTATAATTTTACCAGGTGTCGTAGGCTTGGGAGCTTGGCAGCGCGAGTCCGATGTATACCATGAGGGAGCGTGGTTTGGAGTTTGGGAGGCGTATATTCAATAGCGTAAGACCAAGCTCGGGGAAACTAACACTCGCGATTTCGAACATAGAGGCCTTTACGCTGAGGGATGATCGTATGATGATGTTGTGTCAGTGGTTTGATCAGATTTAATCTTTCTCATCATTCCGAGCTGTAGAGAAACAAGCTGTGATTCCAACCGCCGAGTTACGCTGCTAAGAGCTAAACTTGGTAAGTTGGTTTAAGATCTGCGTTCGCATCTTGCTGCCCCCCCACGAATGGGGCTAGCGGATAATCAAGATGTTAGAAGCAGGATGGTTGTATTGGCTCCTTTGGTTAGCATTCCTCCTCATTGCGAACCTCACTATCATGAGGATGCTGACAGGAGTCATCCTCAATCAGACCAACGAGGTTAACGCTAGGTACAAGGACGAAAGCAAGAGGGTTGCCATGGAGGAGGAACTCGTTGGTGTCCTTTCTCAGTTGGATGAGGATCATACGGGAAAAGTGTCTAGGACAGAATTTAGGCAGATCTTCCAGCATCCCGAACTCCTCGAACGCCTCTCGAAAGTTGGGGTGGACCTTCAAACGTTCCTGGAGGCGATGCTGGAGAGTTGGCCAGACACCGATGTAGCGATCAGCGACATCGTCGAGAAAGCGTTTGCTTACCGCGGCTCGAACCCAGTCACGTTCAGGGACTTGGTCGAGTCCCGGCGGACGCAGGAGAAGCTGCTTGCGCGGCAGACGGGTCACATCGAGGGAGCTTTGCTTCGCGCGCAGGCGGGGGCGAGTTGATGCTGCGTAAGAGGCTCTGTTGATGCAGAATCAGAAGGCGGACCAAAGAGCCTACATCCAGGCATCGGGGTCTTCGTGGTCCACAAGTGAAGCATGCCGGCTGGTGAGCCGACGGGTGGATCATTGCGATTGCCGTGCACCGACACGACGAACCAGCGGAGGTCGGATGAGCTCCAGTGGGGCGCGCGCTAGCGGCCGCGCGACCACGACGCCTTGAGCACGTATGATCCCGACCTTCGGGTCCACGCCCCCCCCCCCTTACTTCTCAGATGAGATGGGTCCCGGGTTTCCTCGGACCTCCCCCATCCAGGCCCCACGCCCAGATGGGGTGGAGGGTAGGGCGACGACGACGACCTCCCTGAAGCACCTTTGAGTATCTCACGCCCACATGGAGGTGGTGGGTCCACCACGCCGCGCCCATGGGGGGGGTCTCATCATGCGGGGGGGGGGGGCGAAAGCATCATGGGGGGTGGATCCTGGATCACGTCTGCTGATGTTTTTGCACTCTCTGCCCTTTCAGCCAGCTGCCTTGTAGTTTTTTGTTTTGTAGTCTTGTTTGCGAGATCCCGTGAAGCCCTTAGGGTAATTTGTCCAAAAGAGATTCGAACCTATGTATCCTTCTTCACCCGTGCATATTTCAGAATGAGTATGACGCACGGCCCCCAGATAATTAGATACGAGCGAGAGATGTATGGAACCGAGAGTGTGTGGAACCCAAGCGTGTGGAGCCCCGTGCGAGTGGAACCCCACGTGTGTGGATGTGTGTGTGTGTGTGCGTGAATGTGTGTGCGCGTGTGGAGTCTCGTGTGCGCGCAGCCGATCTCAGTCTCCGCCACAATTCACACGTGTTCCTCGATGTCGAGCCTGGCGCTGACAGCAGGGGCAACGCCGTCAGCTAAACGGTGCGATCTGTGCATGCGGTTGCTATCCGAGTCGTCCGCCTCGGCTCAACGTTACCACGTCGTTCCCGGAACGTGGATCGAGTTGGCCCGCTTCCACATTACGGCCTGTGGCAAGGAATTTGGTTCTCGAGATCGAGCATTGTCAAATCCTGCTCGGCGAGGTCACCCGAATCCTCAATTGCAGCCCACACGAGGCGCGAGAAAAAGGACCACGAAGAAGGATCAGCACGCGTTTGTTTATGACCCAGATTTGTCATACGATTCATTGCCGAGCTTGCGCCCACCAATAGCGTGATGGGATACAAGCTGTGCTGAAGATATCTGGAGACGGTGATGATGATGACGATGATGATGATGATAACGCTGATGATGATGCTTTTGATGGTCATCAAGGTGATGCTGTGATGAATGATGATACTGATCATGATCGTAAGATGATGATGCTGATTATGACGGTGATCATGACATACAAACTGTGCTTAGCTGCTGTTGATGATGATGATGATGATGATGCTGATCGCGATGCTGATGACGACGATGATGATAATGGTGATGACGACGATGATGGTGATGTTGATGGTACAGACGATGGTGGTGATGATGATGATGATGATGGTGGTGGTAGTGGTGGTGAGATGGTGACGTTGATGGTGATGGTGATTGTGACGGTGATGATGATGTTGATGTTGATAATGAGGATGATGATGTTGTTGTTGATGCTGATGATGACGATGATGAGAACGATAATGCTGATGATGATGCTGATGATGCTAATGGTGGTGATGAGATGGTAATGGTGACGTTGATGGTGGTGTTGAAGGTGATGGTGGTGGTGGAGATGCTAATATCGATTATACTAGTAATGATGATGGTGGTGATGTTGATGATGGTTGTGATGATGGGGGTGATGGTGATGGTGGGGGTGATGGTGACGGTGATGGTGGTGATGATGATATTGATGTTGTTGATGATGATGATGATGATGATGAGGCAGTCGATGACTGCGATGATTTATGATGATGGTAATGATGATGCTGATGATGATGATGATGATGATGATGGTGATGCGGATGTTGATGATGATGATTATGCTGATCATGATGCTGCTGATGATGAGGATGATTATGCTGATGTTGGTTCCCTTTGATGATGCTGATGCTGATGCTGGTGATGATCATTTGTATTGTTAATAGGCTGGTTGTGATGGTGGTGCTACTGATAATGATGATATCGATTATGATGATGATGATACTGACAATAATGATGATGACGATGCGGCTGATGATGATGATGATGCTGATGATGATGATGATGAGGATGCTGATTATGATGATGGTGGTGATGATGATGCTGCTGATGATGATGATGCTCATGATGAGGAATTCGAATATCGATGAGGATGAGGATAAGGAAGAGAAGGCGATGAGGAGGAGAAGGGTGATGATACGGATGATGATGCTGATGATGATGCTCATGATGATGATGCTGATGATGATGCTCATGATGATGATGATGCTGATGATGATGATGATGGTTATGGTGATGGATGGTGATGGTGATGGTGATGATGATAATGATGATGATTATGATGATGATGATGTTGATGATGATGATGATGATGATGATGATGATGATGATGATGAAGATGATGATGATGCTGATGATGATGATGATGATGATGATGATGATGATGATGCTGCTGCTGCTGCTGCTGCTGCTGCTGCTGAGGAGGAGGAGGAGGAGGAGGAGGAGGAGGAGGAGGACGAGGAGGAGCAGGAGGACGCGAGGACGAGGAGGACGAGGAGATGCAAGGAGGGTGTCTCCAGGGTGTGCCCCACTAGATGCCGTGTCTGTTCGCCGCCTAGACAGAGCTCCGTCTCCCCCTTCCTCTCCCTCACTGGTCCCGCTGCCCTGCCTGCCCCGCACCGTGCGTGCCCCCTGCCCCCCGGTGCCGCTCCTCACGGGCGCCCCTGCCCCCTCTCTCGCAGACGCGGCCCCGCGTCGGAGGCCGCGGCAGGGCCCTGCAGCCGGCACAAGGGTCTGCACCTTAGGCGATGCTTAAGAAAACTTAAGTTCTCGGCCGGAGTCTCGATTATTCTGAACGTTTCAATGTACATCTTAAGATTTTGGTAGAAATGTGCTGGTTTTTATTCAAGTTCTGAGACTACGAATTTCTTATCCCATGATTTCTTAAGCATTTCGCAGGGTGTAGAGCCATCCGAGGCTTTCCGAGGGGTGCCCGGGAAGTTGGCCGTCTTGGGTATCTCCATGCGGCCCTGGGGCCTTCGGCGAGGGAGCGCCATTGTGATGGTGCTCTGGGTGAGGGGACCGCATGCGAACCCTACCCCTGCCCCCCACGATTTCGGATGAAGCCCCTGGCCGTTGTCTTACGGTCCGTGGGCTCGACGGAGGCTCCCAGAGGCCGAGATGGCGAACAAACCGGCCTTCACGAGGTTTGCGTAACCCTCTTCCTCCTCGCGTCCGGTCCTGCTGTCTCTTTCTTCCTCTCCCATTCCTTTCTTCCCTTGCCAGAGCCAGCCTTTGTCGCCTGTGGCGACATGCGAAGGCAGAGTCAGGCTAGTTTGTTTTCTGGCAGTCCTCCTCCGACTCGGCGCAGCAGTCCGGCCGCGCCAGGAGGGGAAGGGATATCAGGGGCAACGATTGGGGGGGATAGGCATAGGGGGGGATGCATCGACCCCCAACCGCCCATTCATCGCGGATAGGGGCCCGATAGCCCCACCCCGCCCAGGAAGGTGCGTACTCACTATCGGGCGCCTATCGCCGATCTATCGGCGATGTATCGCCGATATCAGGTCGATGCATCCCTCCCTAGCCTATCCCTCCCTATCGTTGCCCCTCAGCATAAGTGTGCGCAGCACACTTGTCGTGATTCTGGTCGCAATCGATCAATTTTGGACACGTTCCCAGGCGAATCCTGGAAGGCAGTAGTGATGAAGTATGCGGCGTAGCGCGTGGTGGACAAAGTCTCCTCGTCCCATCCGTCCGCTTTCTGATCCGCCTCCTCCTTCCCTGCATGCATCCACCCATTCATCTGTCACTTCCTCCCCTCCCCTCTCAATCCCTTGTCTCCCCTCCCTCCTTCCTTCCGCGTACCCCTCCTCCACCTCCCTCCTCCATGCGCCAGGCATCCCATACATGATCCATCCGCTGCCGTTTACATAACACCAACTTTTTTCCCAAACAAGTCTGCACAGGCTCACAATACGACCACAATCGTTTGTGCAAGCCTGCACCTTTGTTACTTGAGGTGTAAGTTGTTCCCCGAGGGGTCATCGGCCAATTTTTAACGTGCCAGATGAAAAGGGTCGGGCAGGCCCAGGCTGAGGATGAATCGCTCCAGAGCGGCCGAGAAGGCTCTCAGAATACTCCAGCCGGGGTGCCCGATACATGCTCCAGACCCGCCAGTTCTCAGATAGTCCCGACCGATGAACATGCGGATCCGCAGGAGGGTAGGAAAAGCATGGTGACGCCGACAGCAGTCCCTGTCCCTCTTGGGCAGGGCTCGCCGTTGGTGTCGCCGCGGACGTGGTCGATTCGAGGCGAAAGGTCGCCCGTCCAACAGCGGCCGCTGTCGGTTTTGGGCACGTTCGCCTTGGGGGGGTCGTGCCCGTGATCTCCGTACCCATTTCCGGGCGACGAAGACGCGGGCCCAACTGCGGCGACACTGGCGCGTCAGCTCCCCGCGTAAGGTCGCGCGTCAGCGCTCGTCTCTGGTGTGGGGTGCCGCGCCGGCGGCCCGCGTACCGTAGGTTCTTGTCGTGTCGACCGGCGGCGACCCCGCCAGCGGCGTTCAACGTTGAACGCCGCGGGCGACCCAGAATCGTTCGATGTAGAACGATTTGGACGTTTCGGAAACGGCCGATCGTTCCAGGTTGAACGATCCCCGAGGTGCCAGAAACCAACGCCGAAGTCGGCACGACACGAGCCTGACGTAAGCCACCGCGTGAGGTCGCCGTTCCATTTCGTGCAAGACCCTTCTGGGCGTCCAGGTCGTTTCGCCCGTTCGTCCCCGAGGGAGGCCTGGATGATGGGCCTCGCGATCGCGTGCCGTCCGCGCGCCCGTCTCCGGGCGGTGGGGCGCCCCCGCGGCACGTGCGGCCCGTCCTCCCGGGAGGCCCGCCCTCTGCCAGCACCTGTGGTTGGACCGACCCCTGGGGGTCATACCCCAGGTATCAGGAGCGGAAAAAGGACGTACATGTACATGAATCCACGCTGGTTTCGAGAGTTCGCATTGCGCAAATGTTCGTATAACGCGGCCGGTCTCGCGGATCGAGGGGCCGTGTTCATGTACATAGCTGGGCGCGTACGTCCTTTGTGGGCTCCCCAAGGTAGGGGGCCACAGGCGAACCCTACCCCTACCCCCCACGATTTCTGAGGGGCAGGGTGGGTTTCACCTCGTTCGGGAGCTCGCGAGCGAAGTGAACCCCACCCTCCCCCTCAGAAATCGGGGGGGGGGTAGGGGTAGGGTTCGCCTGTGGCCCCCTACCTTGGGGTCAGACCCCTCGAAAGCGGAAGGAAGCAGCCTCGATCCCTTTCTGGGGGGGTGCATCGGCCAGTGGGTTGGACCCACCCCTTATCCCCATCTCAGCACCCCACTGGGGGGTCATACCCCTCGGAAGCCGAAGGAAGCAGCCGCTATCCCCTTCTTGGGGGGGTGCATCGGCCAGCGGGGCCCACGCCACGCCCACGGGGATGTGGGACGGCGAAACGGTGCTCACTCGGGCCCTCCTCCTGCCAGTCGCCTCAGAGGGAGGAGCGCTGGGCTGCTCGGGCGCTCCCGCGGTGCCCCTCCTCCACGTGCGGGTGCCGGCCCGGCCACGAGGTGCTCTCGCTGGCCATCCTGGAGCTCGCCGCGGGGCTCGCCCGGCCGTTCGGGGACAGCAGGCGGCGATGACGATCCGCGAGGAGAATGAGTGGCAGTGGGAGTTAAGATCGCCAGGTCGAGCGAGTCAGTGGGACCCGCCTTCTTCTTCCCCCCCTCCCACAGCATGAGCATGAATCGGGGCACAATCTGATACTGGGATTGGAACGCGCTCCCGCCTCGCAGACAGGAGGAACTCGCGCGCGGTCCCGATTCCAAGGACCTGGCGAACAGAAAGCTACGCGGGCCGCGCAGGGGCGGGAGCCGCAAAACTTTGGAGATGGGCGCGGCGAAGACGAAACATGCGCCGCGCTGACACAGCATTGCCACTTTCCTATCGCAAGCAGCGCGGCGTTTGGGCCATGTCGGCATTTCGCCCGAGATCTCGTACGGCCCCGCCTCCGCTGTCGCCGTCATGCCCTGCGGCGAACGAAACGTGTGCCGCGCCCGCGCCAGAGCGCCCTTTCCCAGGCAACTGCGCCCAGAGCTTGGGCGAGGGCGACAAAAATCGCACACTCCGGCGGGCCCCCCCGGATCTGGCGAGCGACAAAGATGCGCCGCGTCAAGACGTGAACGTCGGTTTCAGACGAAGTCTGCGTGGCGCCGCTGCGAAACCGACATTTTCGCCCGCTCGAGAAGTATGCGATGATTAGCAGTAGTAGTCGTAGTAGTAGTAGTAGTAGTAGTAGTAGTAGTAGTAGTAGTAGTAGTAGTAGTAGTAGTAGTAGTCGTAGTAGTAGTCGTAGTCGTAGTCGTAGTCGTAGTCGTAGTCGTAGTCGTAGTCGTAGCGTAGGGTAGTCGTAGTAGTAGTAGTAGGTAGTAGTAGTAGTAGTAGTAGTAGTAGTAGTAATATAGTAGTAGTAGTAGTGGTAGTAGTAGTCGTAGTAGTAATAGTAGTCGTAGTAATAATAGTTGTAGTAGTAGTGTAGTAGTAGTAGTTAGTAGTAGTAGTAGTTGTAGTTACTTGTAGCGTGTAGGAGTGTAGTAGTAGTAGTAGTAGTAGTAATATTAGTAGTAGTAGAATA